AAATGTATTCCTAAATATTCAACGAATTAGAAATTCCGCATAATTTCCTTCTGCATATTCATATTTTGACTGACAATCCAGGCAAGTGAAAGAATTCTCGCTCTCCTCCCTCCTCAGAATTTCCAATTTCACTGGATTTCCAGTGAACTCTCGAGCCCCGTAATTCCCCCTAACAAGAGATAAATAAACTGATACGGACCTCGATCGTGCCATGGCCGTTCATCTTGCCGTCACCACTGGTAGCACATTACCGCCCCCAGATCACTCTCAAATCTCGACAAATTCTGGGTTGAAAAATCCCCCCCGAACATTAAATCACTCGTCAATCCAAGGTCATGTCGCTAGTCAAACGAACACCGCGAATGACATCATTTACCCAGAGTATTCAAAACCACAGCATTCATGTCACAATTTCCACATATTTCCGTCCACTTATTCACGATTTTCGGCCCCTGAGGCCCGACTCTGGGAGTCAGAACACAGGAAGAATAATCATTTCACACACTCGTCCCCATCCTCGGTGCTAAGATCCACGGGATGTTTCGAGGAATAAAACCCTGGGGATTCGATCATCGAGCGCTGAGAGAGCCACGTCCAGTCGGTTAGAGCGCTCTTTGCGGACTGGATTCGAGGCCGGCTCGTGCGAACCAAAGAGCATCGGTTTCCTATCGCCGCAGGTACGCGGTGACTCTCCACATGGATATCGAATTGAAGCTGTCTCGTGAGGCCAACTCTCACGAAAAATCATCATCATCAAGTGGATCGTATGTAAATCAGGGTAAATAGACAGTGTGAAGAGGAAAAAAAAACGAGCTCTGAACTTCCTTTTTCCTTGAGGTACCGTTCATCCTCTCAAGAAGTCTGTCACACCTGGGCGTATTACCACGGAGTTCTAGCTACTGAGGGTCTGGTTTACCCGGTTCTTGCGCCCTGTGTTTACGATACCTGGGATGTGAGAAGTTATCCTGGACCCATACCTCCATGACCATCCGGGGTTAAACCCGGCTATGGCGTTGTGCCAACTTGGGGGAATCGCATTCGTACTTGGATAGGACAACATGTTGGGGAGATGCGAGGGCCGCGTGTTACCTCCAGGAGGTGAGCACGGTCGATGCACTTGTGAGTGAGGGTATGGTGCAGCTGTGGTACTCCTCCCTGCGCGGGCATTGGTGGGGCCGCGAGACAATCGCTCGCTCTGTTAGCCGGTTCAAGGACGAAGTCCTCGCGCCGAAATAAAGAGGATCATCTCGTGGGGATTTTTTTTTTGGTCTGGGAGGGGTGAGCACTCTTGAAAAAGTGGAGAACGGATTTCAAGAGGTTTAGAGGAATCTTTGGAAAGTCGGAGGGTTTGTAATTATTGTGGAGGGGTTCATCAACATTTTGGGACAGGCTGAAATGTCGAGTTGATGAAGTGACATTTCGAATTTCGAAAGGGTTTTAGAGAGACAAGCGTGGGGGGAAAGGTGAAGGAATGAAAAATTTGGATGTGTAATTATTATGAGAATATGTTGAAAACCATTGGGTTTTATTTTGTTCACGTATTTTCCAGTAAAAAATTTAGCGTTTCAGGAATTTTGAGATGAAGATTTGAATTGTAAAATATTTTTGGAATTTCAAGGGGTTTGGAAGCTCCGGAAATTCTTTCAAAGAATTTTAGGGAAGTTCAAAAATACTTTGAGAATGTTCATATGGTTTCGGGTGGCTGGATTTGAATTTTGGGTTTCAAAAAGGTTTTAGGAAAGTCAATAAACATTTTTAGATATTTGCAGGTGTTCAGTCAATTATTATGACGAGTAGTTGAGTATTATGGCAAACCTATGGATGTCTAGCAGGAAATGTGAATAAAAAAGCGATGAATAATTGTTAGGAGAATATGTTAGGAACCGCAGAATTTCTTTTGTTCACGTATCTCTTCAGTAAAAATTTTAGTATTTCAGGAATTTTAAGATGAAGGATTGAATTCTAAAATATTTTTCGAACTTCAACAAACTTGTCGACGAGAATCATACTGCAGTACACTATTAAAAATTTTTGACTGAAACTTCCGGTACACTGTTTAAAAATTTTTATTTCATTTTAGTTCCACTGAAATTCAGAAAAACGTTGAAAATTTATGGAAATTCAATTTTCAATTTCATGGAAAAATCAATAGTAACTGAAAATATCAGTCCAATTATCCTCTGAAAATTGATAGAAAGCGGAAAAATTCTGCAATATATTCTCGAAATTTGAATTAATTAAAAATTCAGTGTAATTTTGCACTAAATATTCATGTCTTCACTAAAAGTTGAAATTCGTTGAGGAATTCTCGTGTTAAAATTGTTCAAAAATTGAAAATTTCATGAAATTTTCAGTGAAATCTGAAATTTTACTATTTTCCCCCCTTAAATCACACTCAATGTCACTCTCCTGAAAATTGCTAGTCGCCTGTCCATAAAATTTCAATGTTTTTCTATGCGATGACTAATAATGATTAATGACAGAAAAACCTCAATCCCTGGGATTTTAAATCTGCAATTTCCCGGTCTCCCAACCAAGACCGTTGCAAACTTCCTATCCATCAGAGTTTCGAAGATATTCCCAGAACCATAAAAAACCCAAGAGCATGGGACTCGGCGTTATCCCCGTATGGACGCACGCGACTGTCGAGCCGCAGAAACTCATTCCCTCCAACGTCCCCAACAGAGTAAGAATGGGGAAAAGAGTGAGACACTGAATGAGTGAGCCCGAAGGCGAGGGGGAATAAACGCCAAACGTCCGAGTGTATGTGAAACGAGTGGACACGACACGGTACATTCTACCGGTGTAACAGCCTCGCCTTTTCAACACCGTGGAAAACTGACAAACTCTTTGACTCCTCTGACAGTTATTACACGTGACAACACGAGGGTTCATGCACAATTCACTCAGTCATTCATTCATTATTATTTTATCCAGTAAAAGCCAAAACATCAATTGCAACAGGGACTGTTGAATAATTATTTTCACATTATGATGAAACAAATTTAATTAACGACGACTGAAAACCGCTTTTTCACGCGATAGATAACTCTGTCGGTGTCAATTCAAATTACACACACGAAACGTGAATCGAAAGAAAAACAGATTATGCGCGTGACTGTCGTTTCACCTTGACCCCTGAACCCGATGAATTGACTGCGGCGAGGGACCGGGGTAATCACACGTGGAATTTAGTGTACAAATGAATTTAAAGGCCCATTAAATCCTCGTGAAATGTCCCAAATTTCGGGGAAATTCATGAAGTTCCGAATATCCCGTAAAATCTAATTTTTAATTCATTATAATATTTTGCGAAGTGTTTAATAATTATTTCAAGAATTTCTTGTACACTGTTAGGAACTTTTTGAAACCAAAGTAATAGATTCATTTGAATTTTCAATGCAATGATTTTGAATTGAATTTGAGATCAATTTAAATTTGAATTAAAAGAGAACAATATTCAGTAATTTTCATTACAATTTTCCGATGAATTGACTGCGGCGAGGGACCGGAGTAATCACACGTGGAATTTAGTGTACAGATGAATTTAAAGGCCCATTAAATCCTCGTGAAATGTCAGAAATTTCGGGGAAATTTCAGGAAGTCCGGAATGTCCCGTGAAATCTAATTTTTAAGTCGTTATAATATTTTGCGAAAGTGTTTAATGATCATTGCAACATTTCTCCTAATAGTGTACTATTAGAAACTTTTTGAATTCAAGTAATAGCTGCATTAAAATTTTCAATCTTAAAAATTTGAATTCGATTTAAGATCAAATTGTTCATGAATTTATTAATTATCTTTAAAATTTAACAACAGTGAATTTGTTATTTAAAGCGATCATTGATGCTTCGAGAACAGATTAAATGCTCAAACTCACTGTGAAAATTGAACATAAGATTTACCACAGATCGGCATCAATCATTAATTTAGTAATATTATGAGAAGTTGCACCTTCCAATAATTAAGATTTCCTTGTCTCCGTTGAAATTTGATGAATAATATAATAATTAGTGATTTAGATTTCTTCAATTGACTATTAACCAAATAATGGACAAAATAGAATTGTCAATTAACTATTGACTAAACATTTCTAAATGTCATAAAAGTATTTTTCGCTTAGCCAAATAATCGTCAATCTTCCGAACTCAATTACTGATTGATCAAATAATTCGGAATTTGAATACTCAAATTGACTATTAAGTTGATAATTAAAAAATTGGTGAGTAATATTAACAATTATCTTATTCAAACTTTAACTTTAATTAAAATTTATGATTATGCCGACGTCTGAGATCTCTTTCAATTTTTCTACCTTGAATATTTCAAAAATTCAATGATTTGACACCAACAACGTGCGAGAATTTCATCAAAAATTTATCGTCTCTAGAAATTTCAAGACTTTTACTTGAAATTACAAGAGTTATTTTTTTATTTCACCCCTTCGAAATCCAAATACTTTTTTCCGGAGGGGTTACCCCTTCGAACAGATGTACTATTTATTAACTAATTGCAAATTTCGACGATTATTTCTCCCTGAAGTATCGAATAAAAAATGTAAACGAAACGACAGACCAAATGATTAAACGAATGTCAAGGGTTAATGAGTAATTCTCCCTCTCCCTAAACCGTTGCATTATTCTTTGGTCATTGCATCTGATACTGGGACGTGTCTCACTTCCTCTCGTCATTAGGAATCATCATCGTATTACACCCCAACACGTGGTGATGATTCGACATTCACCAGAGTGCTGGGGCTACGGCGATGATGATGATAAAATACCGAGAATTCTCCGTTAGACATTACACGGAGTTGCGAGGGTTCTTCGAATGCACGTGCGCGACACCGGATGAACTCAGAGTACTTGGGGTAACGATCTGTGTCCCCAGGGGACAACTTTATGTGAAACATCATCGCGCTGGGTTTTCATGAGTCTCGAAAAAAAAAACACCTCTAATTTTCGTAAAAATAGAATTGAGGATTATGGTAAGTGCCTTACCTTGTCTTCGCACGTCTTGTGGCAGAGGTATTTGCAGACTGTAACAGAAAGATGCGAAGAAACATTTGAGATAATTAAATGAGAGGCACTTAATTAGGAGGAAAATGTTAATGAGTGGAACAAATGCTGCGAGGGAGATTTGAATCTGTTTTATGGAACATTGACGCACTCTGGGGGGGAGATGGCACGACGCGAGGAGCGTCGAGATTCTTAGTCAATGGTAAAGAGGGCTCTGGGTTTATCGACTCACCTCGACAGCAGGAGGCCTGCTTTATCATCGCCTGGTGACAGAGGTGGCATGGCCGCGGTTTTCGAAGCTGTTTTGTCCGAAATATGTGGCATTGTGGCTCAAAATCACTCTGTAACAAAAATTAAAAACAATTTTTTTGTATTCAATTTGTGGGAAGATAATTGGGAGGGATTATTGACATGTTAACTGCGAAATCATTTGCTTTATAATTAATATATCAGTTTTTGTTGAGAAATTCATGAATATAAAAATATGCAAATGTTCACCACTTCGTCTATAATTTTTTTATTGTTATGCATTTGCGAATTTTGCAACGAAACATCGAGAGGCAGGGACAACGATAAAAGTTCAGCTTTTGTGAACAACTAGAGATTGAACACGAAAAAACATGTTACGTATGTACTAAAAAAACATCTGTAACAAAAATTAAAAGCAATTCTTTAGTATTTAAATCGTAGAAAAATAATTGTGAGTGATTTTTGACATGTAAAATGTTGAATTATTTGCTTTGTAATTAATTACTTCAGAGGAAAATATGGGAAGAGTTTTTATTAGGACAACTCCCCTCTAATTTTTTGGTCGTTGAAGTCTCAAATTTTAATGGCTTTTATTATCATGAATTCTTGAATTTTGCGATGAACCATCACGACGCAGAGACAAGGGATAGAAGTCCAGCTTTCGCGAACAAACACAGAGACTGAACACGAAAAGACATGTTACGTATGTACTAGAAAAACCTCGATCCAGAGGGGGAGGTGTTTTGGTATGCGAAAAAGCCCTCGGCACTGGCGATTCTGAGATTTGCAGCTCCGATTACACGCACGCGATCATCCTGCTAGGCTTGGAGACCCTTTCTTTTCTTCTCTACTCGTGTCTTATCTCCTGGAATATACACCAGGAAACAAACGAGTGTTCCCCGAGAGTAGTCGGAAGAAAATGCCCAGCTACCAGCATTCACTCTACAATTCAACTCGCAGAGTACACCCTTGGATATACCGCATTTGAATAATATTAAACTCTTCATTTGAAATTTTTCTATTCATTCAATAATTCTTTTGTTAGGGATTAATGAACTTATTTGTTTATTTCAATGAAATTGTTTTTCAATTCATTCATTCTTTATTCGATTGTTGCATTTTAAAAATTTATTTTCGTTCTCGTCTGAATGATAGTTCATTTTTTAAGTAATATAAAGTCTTTAGTTAAATCAAGAAAATATTATTTTGTATTAAAAAACCATTTTTTTATTGAAATAAAGTTGTTTAAAGCAAATAAAAACATTTATTTTGAATTTTTTAACTGCCTCCAACAATATTTTTATCGGAAATAGAAAAAATACATCTACTTCAACGAAATTGTTCAATTATATGAAATTCATAATTAATTCGTCCCAAATAATGGGTTATTCCATGTTGATAAATTAATTTTCTTTACCATCTAAACAATTATTCAATTTCTAACTAATTAAAATCATTATGTATTTATGTGGGTCAAGGAAACGTTTGTTTGCAATTGAAAAAGTATTTTTTCATGTTAATAAAGCAGCAAAAAAATTAATTCCACGTTTGGACAAAGTCATTGATTTGATTCCAATACCGTTCATTCATTTTTTCCCTTCAACGTATTTTTTCTCGACCCGCTGTCAAAACCCCTTGCCACGGGTTAACGCAATTTTTCTTCGTCCCAAGAAAGCAATAATGAGAGCCGCATAATAAATAGCAAGATAAATCATTACGAGTGGGCGTCACCGAATCACGGGGCGTCTGGTCTCGCATGAACAGTTTTTGATGTACTCTCGAGAGGTTGAGAAGGCTTTTTCAAGTGGAATGTTTGGCGTCCCAGAGGCGAAACCCATGTGAACTGCAAAAATCATTCGGCAACGCACTGGCGCCCACCTCCCACTCCACCCCCCCGATGGAGACTACTCGAACAGAGGCCCGCTTTGTCGATAGTTTTTTAACGTACGTTTGCAGCGCATGTTATTCACCACTCTGGACTGCATTAAAGCACAGATATACAAAAGCTGGATGCTTATGCAGGTCTCAAAGGCCGCATTTTCATTCGACTAGAGTGTCTACAGTTCGTGCATTACAAATTGACGGGAATGGGATGCATGAGCTACCTGCGAGATGAATGGATTTGGAAAATTTTTCTTTTCGGGGGAGAATGGAGGCATTGTGACTTGTCTCATTCACTCGCAAATTATTTAAACAGTTTGTTTCATCAATTTTGTTTTGTCAATTAGTTTCTTTATGTAAACCGCATTTAACCCTAAATTATTGAAATTATTGCTGAAATATTCGAGTGGGGGTCAGTCAGAAAAATTGTACATCACATTTTAATGGTTTTCTCGAATATGTTTGGGGTTTTGGGAAAGAAAGGGATTAGAATTTTCAGATATGCTTAGCGATTTCGGAGAATGTGAAGGATTAGATTTCATGAGGCTTTCCTAAGTTATTTCTATGATTTCGTGGAAAATTTCATTGAAATTCTTAGATTTTTAAATATTTCAAAAAGTTAGGAATCGCACAAGGTTTGATTAGAGATGGAATTCATGGAATTTCCAATCCGTCTGTACACGGGATTTCGTGATTGATTACCCCTAGTCCGTTCGAAACTGTGACAGCCACTTGAATATCCTCAAAAACCCTCAAACCCTCAAAAATATAAATCACTCATATTCCAAGTAACCCGAGAAAACCCTTCAAAAAATCTATGCGATCGAGGCTAACGCTTCTAATGTCAACATTGTGTCCACGCGAATCGTTACTACTGAGGCCCTTGTCATCCCTACGGTATTTCGTGATGGATTACCCTCTCGCTAAATACATAAATCTCAATCTCTCAAAAAACCCGCAATCTCTCAAAAATATTAATCATGCATCTTCTAAGAAACCCACAAGAACCCTTCAGAAAATCCATATGGCCGAGGCTAATGCTTCTAATGACAACATCGGGTCCCCGTTCACGTGCGGCGTGCAGCAACAACTGGGTGCAACCAAGGCCCTTGTAGTTTCCTACGGTATTCCTATGATTTCATAACAATCCTTAGATTTCTAACAATTTCAGGATTTCAGAAATCCCAACGGATTTAATTCCCGATTTAAAGAAATTTAAAATTCATCTCCATACCAGACTTCATGATTGATTACCCCCTCGCTAAATCCATAAATCTCAATCCCCGAAAAAACCCCAATCCCACAAAAATGTGGACCTCGCATATTCCGAGAAACCCAAAAAAACCCTTTAAAAAAATCCATATGACCGAGGCTAATACTTCTAATGACAACATCGGGTCTCATTAGAATCGTATGCAACCGACGCCCTAGTGATTCCCCATAATATTTCTGATTTCATAAAAATTCTTAAATTTCTAAAAATCAGAATTTCCGAAATCCCAAAGGATTTATTAATTCCAGATTTAATGGAATTCCAAATTCATCTCCATACCAGACTTTATGATTGATTACTCCCTCGCTAAATCCATAAATCCCAATCACCGAAAAAACCCCAATCCTACAAAAATGTGGACCTCGCATATTCCGAGAAACCCAAAAAAACCCTTTAAAAAAATCCATATGACCGAGGCTAATGCTTTTAACGACAACATCGGGTCCCATTAGAATCGTATGCAACCGACGCCCTAGTGATTCCCCATAATATTTCTAATTTCATAAAAATTCTTAGATTTCTAAAAATCAGAATTTCCGAAATCCCAAAGGATTTATTAATTCCAGATTTAATGGAATTCCAAATTCATCTCCATACCAGACTTTATGATTGATTACTCCCTCGCTAAATCCATAAATCTCAATCCCTGAAAAAAAACCCCAATCCCACAAAAATGTGGACCTCGCATATTCCGAGAAACCCAAAAAAAACCCTTTAAAAAAATCCATATGACCGAGGCTAATGCTTTTAACGACAACATCGGGTCCCATTAGAATCGTATGCAACCGACGCCCTAGTGATTCCCCATAATATTTCTGATTTCATAAAAATTCTTAGATTTCTAAAAATCAGAATTTCCGAAGTCCCAAAGGATTTATTAATTCCAGATTTAATGGAATTCCAAATTCATCTCCATACCAGACTTTATGATTGATTACCCCCTCGCTAAATCCATAAATCTCAATCCCTGAAAAAACTCCCAATCCCACAAAAATGTGGACCTCGCATATTCCGAGAAACCCAAAAAAACCCTTTAAAAAAATCCATATGAGCGAGGCTAATGCTTCTAATGACAACATCGGGCCTCCGTTCACGTGGGGCGTGCATGGAGAATCGTGTACAACTGAGGGCCTTGTGATGCCGCTTACTGGCTTAACTTAAGGGCGATACACAGAGACAACCGGGCGCAACACGACGGTTATGTATAAAACGGTGTACACCGTTCGCCCGCCTCCGTTCCAAACCGAAGGAAATCTCGTGATCGCCATTACCCTCTTTAGATCATTGGCGTGTAAGAAGATGTTGTAGTTTACCATCGAATGCGAGTGTATTCGAGGCTAGGAGAATTTAATATTGACATAGAGACACACAAGAGCCCCTTGATTACCCGTAAATCATAATATTTAATGTCCGGGATGAACGCGAGGAGAAAAGTATCGTGCGGTCTATTGTTATTACCTAGTCGCGAGTTAAACTTGAGAATTCAACAGGAACTTTCCACTCGGACGATGGGGCCTGAGGGTAACCACGGGGGATCAGTGCATGTTTAACGCCGGAAATGCATTTTTATATTTTTTTTTGTCTTTCTCTTCGAGAAGAGGAGTTTATGCTGTTAAGTTTAACAGAAAAGCGTGGGCTTTACGGAATGCGTTGGATTGCACAGTTCATGGAATTCCAAATCCATGTGCACATGAAATATCATGATTGATTACCCCAAGTCCGTCTGAAACTGCTAAAGCCACTGGAATACCCTTAATTCCTCAAAAAACCCCGAATTCCACAAAAATATAAATACATATTCCAAAAAACCCAAATGGTTTTTGTTTAAACCCATCGAAAAAAATCGCCCGCTTCGTTTTTGTGATCGCTATTACACTGTTAGAAAAAACTTGAAACTTCATGGATAGTTGACTACTAATTTTCAGGAAAGTGACACTG